GCAACATCTCAAGCGGCTGTAGAGAAAGCGCGCTGTAGCGGAGTGAAACACACTGCGCCCAGTTGATCGATTTCAATCTGGAAGCTCATCACGTTCGTGCTTGAATCATGGTCGTTGATGTTATTATGAGCTTCCCATTATGCAAGGTTGCATTTATTGCTTCGCGTCGTGGGCGAAGGGTTCCCCTTCTACCATCGACTGCTTGCTGTGTGTTAGCTCAGAAATAGAGAGGGCTCATAGTGCCAGTCAACGATAAGGTACCAGTTGTCTTGGTCTCCTTTGCTCCTAACAATCCCTCTATTGAAATTAGCTAATACTCATGCACTTGTTGTCATGGCTTACTTCCATACAAACACTACTACTACTTACACAGAGTGATGGTCGCCATCTTGTATTAAGGCTTCACGTCAATGATACACGTCATAAGCCTACCATACAAGGTGGAGTTATATGCCATCTCACTGACCATACTATTGTTTAGATCCTTTCACGACACTGTTGAACATCATTTCGAAGACTGAGACTAAACTCAACACCGAGCTTGATACCGTCACGCGCCTCGAAAACAAGTAGTTTCCTTCCGTTCTGGCTTAAACTCAACAGAGTGTATTTCGCTCATCAGGCTAGAAGGTGGGCGTGCTATGAGCAAACCGGCCGTTGGTCTTCAGCTGTGGACTATGGGCTTCCTTGTGGTACTCGGCGCTACCATAGCAGGAACGATAGTTTGGCTTTACCATCCAGCCAAGAGAGCTAGTGTTGGAGGCGTCATCGCCGATGTGTAAATGGCGTGGTATCCTCGGCGTAATTCGAGGCCTGTAGTGACAGGTTCGTCTTCACTGGTGAACTCGTGGCCATAACCAATCGGAAGGGGGACGATGCTATTCTGAGGGTGGTGATGAAAGGTGTTATGCATAATGGAAAAGCTGAAGAGTTTGCGCGATTATCATCCGAATCGGGTCGAACTGAGTGAGATTTGGTAGTGCTCGTAGTTAGGCTGTATACGGTATGGTAGGCACACTTTTGCTAAAAAGGAAGGAGAATTCACTTGGGTGATCGGAGCCATCGAGGTGAGACCATCCCCCCCAAATAGGGTTTATTCGAGTAGTGGTGGTCGTGTTAGGATGCTCGAGGTCCTGTTGGAGAGGTATTGATGGAGATAATAAAGGACGATGATGTGGTTGCAGATGGCCGAATTGACTTGAATGTGATTGAGTTTCTCTCACTCAATAATCGTCATGGTGATACAATCAGGAGCTTTACAAAGAAGGTCGTTTGAGCAAGGACATGCAGAGGACGACAGAGGTACAGCTCGGCATTAGCGGCCATTCCTATTAATGCTTAACAGATAAAAGTACCTGTTAAAGGTGGTATTGTGGAAGAGATCACCTTGAATGGTAAACTGGCTAAAGGCTCTAATTTCCATGAGGTGTGGTATGAACCATAACCTGATTCCCACTGTCGAATCGTTCAGGCGCTGCGTCTAACCAAAAGTGTTTACGTTGGGGTCAAACGTGCTGGTGTCTTTGGCATTGCAGCGTAAGTGGTCAACTACTACCCTTTCGAAATCTATATGGGCGCAGGTACGGCATGTGTGCGATTTTTGGGGTCTTCGGCAATTTTGTGGTAGGGGGAATGTTCCTCTTTGGAGGGTGCACAACACAGAGCATAGTAGCCCTAGTTGCTATGGTTGTACTGGCAGCCTTGGTCTTACCGGTAGGATGGGCAACACTCTGGTAAACCTGTGAAAAATTCTGTTGAAAAAATTTGGGGAAATTCCCCCTTGTTGACCGCAGAGGCCCGTGTACTTTCGAGGGATAACGTCCCCGACGGGTCAATAACGGTGGGGGAAATGTTTCTAATATGACATTTACATTGGAAACCTGCTAATGAGAGTGTTCCTCGCTATGTGAAAAGGTGATCTCTTCTATGAGCATGAGTTTGTATTCGGTGTGGTTGGAAAGGCTTCATGTAATGTTATATCAGACCTTATCCTCTTGGACAGCTCGTGACGACGTAGCAAGGAGCAAGATGTTCCTCGGTCGACTGAGCTCACAGTTGAAGGCTCTGGTGCTGATCATACTAGCAGGAGTACAGATAGTGTTGGCAGCTACGGGAGGCACAGGTATCTTTGTTCGTGCTAGTTGGTGGTATTGCATTCGTGTTTGCTCTCAGAAACCTGCTCGCCTCTATTTACCACACTGGGCTTGGCATCACTCATCAACTCTGTATTGTTCATAGTAGTATTTGTGAAAGATGAAGTGAAGGGGGACTTGATGGCCCTCGTGAAACCGAACTGTCTGTTGAAGGAGTCTGCTCAGGAGAGTGAACAGCAGCAGTACGCTATCCCATGAGCGATATCATGCTATTTGTCGTACTCTATTACTAATCATATCTTGCGTTCAAGTCACTGGATAATTGCTAATGGAGTGGTATGGGAAGCTGTGCATTTCATGCTGTCGTTATGGGCCTCTGAACTTGAGTCTGCTGGCGTTTGCCACGTAGGTTGATGAATTGTAGGATGAAGTCGATCCCGGTATCAACAAATTCATTTGCCTCTCGGCGGGGATATCATTTACCTGGTATACCGATGTGATGGTCGCTAACGTTGATTATTGCACAAGAGTTTGTTGCTCGTGTTGAATGCCCAGCATGGCTGCTGACCGAATGGAGTCTACTTCCGTTAAACTGTTCGTGAGAGGACTGCCAGTCCACTACCCAGAGTCCGACTTGAGAGCTGTTTTTGAAGAGTAGGTTATGAGATTTCATTGTAAATGAGGGGGGGCGTTGTTAAAAGAATACACGGGTTTGACTTGGTCGATGACCCCAGATAGTCTCGGTATATATCCTGTGAATGTTGTAGCATGAGTTACCGTTGGGATTATGTCGCAGTGGTCTTCAGTAGTGTGCGATGCTGTAGCTGTAGCCATGTGGCATTGTTAGGTATGGTATGGTAGAAGATGTGTTTATATTGAGGGATAGGTCGACGATGCAGAGTAGAGGTAATAATGGTAGTGTTAATAGTAATGAGAGTGGTGTTTGTCTGAATGATAGGGATGGCCTTCGTACGGTTTAGAGATATCCCATCTGGCATGGCAGCGATCAAGGCATTGAATGGTACTCAGCTACCAAGGAGCGATGTAGCAGCACTTGAGGGGTTGTTGTTTTTGTATATCGAAGTAGCGGGCAGAGTATTATGGGATAGTAGCAGTCAATACTATCGCATCATTCACTTGCCCCTCCTCGTCATTCAGGGCATCGTCTTAGTCATAATACCTCTACTAGTTGTATTGATAACGATGTTGAGAGTGTTGATGACATGTCCTTTGATCAGTCCCATATACCGCTGTCAGTATCACTAGCCCAAGGTGAAGCGGAAAGGCTTGGTATGCATGGGGAAGTGGTGGCAACAGGTAACTAGAGTGTGTCGCAATAACAAGGGTTAGGGTAGTGGTAGGTGGTGACACGAAGTTGTTCGTATCGGGGTTGGGACCAGCGACCCAGGAAGAGGAGCTTCGGACTATTTTTGAACCATTCGGGCGAATCAACGAAGTGCATGTACCGGGACCGCATGCCTTGTAATAGGGGCCAAGCTCATACCACGCCTCGAGCAACTCATGGGTCATCTAATCAGATATGCATTCGTTCGGTTTGCGGAGAAGGAAGATGCGCTGAAGGCAATTCGAGAGGTCAACGGTCGTGTCACAGTTGAGGGGTCCCAAAGGCCACTCGAGGTGAAGGTGGCCGAATCAAGGGCTGCCAAAGCCGATAGGAATGCTCATCATCATCAGCAGCAGCATGGCTATGAGGGGGGTAATCGTAGACTTGTAGTAGTGTTGGAATTTATGTTCGCTCTCCTCAGCTGAGCTCAGAAGTTTCCTCACTAATTATAGGACTTAATATACGAACTAGGGTAGAAGTGCTAAGAAACCCACAAAATGTTTTCGGAAACTCGCTCAAAATTTTTGTACTTTCACCACCACACGTAGTTGACCATGTGTACGTTTTCCTACACTGGCTTTCAGTGAATACGCTATATGCTCCCCGTCCAATATCCGTGTGCTGTACTATACAATTGTAGGAGCTTACGACCCCACTACATCGTCGTCGGGCTATGGTGGCTCGCCGCCTTTGATTGCAGCAGGAGGAACGTCACGGCCGTTATTCAAGGCTGGAATGGCCGCTGATCCTGCTAGTAATATGGGTGGTATACTCATAGGATCAATCTCAATTCTGAGCGCGTGATAAGGAATTTTGGTAAGTGCCGAACCGAGCTTTTACGTCTGAAGCAGTAGGTGCTACTGGCTTACGTTTGATGGCTGGTGCGGCTGCCTCCTTACCAATAAATGGTGCTACTTCATCATTAACATCACCGGGGAGGCTGGATACTCCTACTATAAACGGGATCAGAGGGGGATCTCCATCAGGAACTCAGGCACCAAGGACTGCTGGGGTCTGGACTGAGTGAGATGATGAGTTCAAGTCGTCAGTACTGTATGAATCGCTGAACAGGTACTTCACGATGGACGACACTCCTTATTATCACAATGCTCGCACCAATGAAGTGCAGTGGGAGATGCCCGCAGAGTTCAGGAATCCGATTAATGTACACACAGCTCCTCAGACTAAAGGTAGGAGTACTCTCGGTCGTGTCGTCAGCGGGGTAGGAGATCGATCAGTGTTGGAATATATCTTTGGTTTCCTCAGCTGAGCTCAGGAGCTGCCTCGTAATATTGTGAAAATTGACACACGAATGAGGGTAGAAGTGCAGGGAAACCGACATGGATTTTCCACGTTTTCTTTACTGCCACGAACACATGTAGTTGACCATATGCATATATTCCTACAATACTATGGCCATGCTATGAAGTTGGCTAATCGATGTTGGATAGTAGCTGTACGCAGCACAAGTATTGGATTTCAATCCCACTGAGAGAATATCCATATTCCTCGAACGCGAGTTAACTTTTTTCATATATTTTTCTGGCGCCGATATTGTCATTTTATAGGTCCTCCTGGTGCTAACGTATTCGTATTCTCGGTACCGGACGCTTGGACTGAGGACGACTTACGAGATCACTTCTCAAGTTTCGGGAATATTGTTTCCGCTAAGGTACCGAGGGAAACTACTTACTCGTCGTTCATGAGGAGTGTACTGTCATCGTGTAAGGTGGTGGTTGATAAGCATACCGGCTTATCGCGTGGTTACGGCTTCATCTCCTATGATAATGCACAATCTGCGGGACGTGCGGTAATATTATGGGTTTAGTATTAGTGTTTGACTTCAATGTGAGTAGAATATCAACTCGACACGAACTGTGTAGGGAGAATGTATAAACAGAAAGGTCCAAGCCTAGCTCGATGATAAGACAGCTGGAATGGGACAGCTGATTGTGTGGAATATGATACTATTGCATGTGTGTAAATCTTGTTCCTAGGAGTGATGGAATATGCGGCTCTCCTTACGAACATCACAACCTGGCTGATAGGTGTGTGAGGGTGTTTGATTCAGGTCGCTGAGATGAATGGTTTCGTGGCGGCTAATGGTCGACGCATTAAAGTGCAGATAAAGAAGGGGGAGGAGGATGCGGCAGTGGAAGAAAGGGGACGGAGGGGGAGGTCCAGCAGTCCCTATTGATGACCATTAATACAATTCAATTACTATACTATTACTATGAATTGGTAGAGGAGGATGAGGAGGACGTATTACAGATGTTGTTGTTGTTGTGCTTGTGGTTGATGGTCGTGATGATGATGATAATAGTCATGCCCATGATGAATACTTTGCTACTGGTGTTGTTACTTATCTCGTGGTCTCGATCATTGTAAGGTGTGTATGAATTAGTTCCCGAGTTATGTTTCGATAGAAAAGGAGGAGGAGGAATAGAGAACAATGATGATGCATTACTTGAGTAGTTGTTGTATGATGGTCTTATCAATAACAGCTGTTAGTGAGCTTACGCCGTCTACAGTACAGTCTTGTTGAGCTTAGAGTTATTACAGGGTTGGCCAGCTGCTGGCCTTCAAACAGCTGATTGACGGCTTACATGTTACGTCTGAGTGTATCACTCATAAGTATCTACTCGCTGGTCTTCGACCTACTATAGACTATAAACAAAATGATGTTGGAGGGGATATCAGCGAATTCTTGCAGTCACGGCCTTTGGTCGTCGCGAAAACATCTTTCCAGGAAGAACTATTCCAGATGTACGAGGTGACTCATCACGCTTAGCGACTGCTAGATACGAGAGAGCACCGATTAGTATTGGGAGTATGCTAATCGGGACACGCTTGAGCCAATCATGCGTAATCAAGAAGTGTGCCGGGCTTCTTTGAGAGTCGGAAAGGATGCAGACTATTCAACAACAGGTCGAGAGACGAACCTAAGAACCGCCGATGGGCATAGCAAGACTGAGTCCGGATTGAACGTAATCATTTCTCTGTATGTCCCTTTGTCTCGCGAGTGGTCGCGGTGTCTCTCGTGATTTGATCGCTACTGTGGTGTTACTTCAATTGAATCCGGAATGGTTTTATGTAGCTCGATCAAGCGCTGCATATCACCTTTCATTGAATTGTAATGCCGAGTCATCATCGAGATGGTCGTTGGTGAACAACTTGACAGCGGACATGCCATAGCCTGCATTTTCTAGGGATAGTTTGAGCCGATGCTCTCTCCCTTTTCATTGAGTACATAGAATAAGTTGTTGATGAGTGTTCGGGTAGTGGTTGTTGTTGGCCATGAGTGACAATTCTGAGGCTATGTCATCATTGATAGCAGCAAAGAAAGCAACTAGACGCATGATCAAACAGAGGGTGCAAGGAATACCCCAATCTCTAGTGGTTGAGAAGTCGGGCTTCATAGTAGATAAAATATTGGATATGCTTGTTTGGAAAGAAGCCCAAGCAGTGGGAGTATTCCTCTCGATGCCTCAGGGGGAGGTGAGAGAATGAGGGCATAGTCATTAGGACAGTTGACGATTCTAAGTAGTTCAACCTCATAGTATGAAGTCACTGATAATATGAATCATAGTGTGAACGCCAGTGATGAAGATATGAAGTTGTTATTATGAGTAGGTACAGACTGGACGTTTGGTCGCCGATGCATTCAAAAGCGGTAAGAGAGTCTTTGTGCCGAAGACCATCCATGGTAGCAACGATATGGAACTTCTAGAGGCCAAGTGATGATAACGCCTCCACACGGCATGGCTGGCATTAACTCTATCAGGAGCCTTAATGATATATCCTCGTTCCCTCGTACGAATTGGGGTATACCAGAACCAGATTTCATCAACCCGTCGACTGGGGAGGCTAGAGTGAATGCAATGGACTGTCGTCCACCCGCGCTAAACGTCATTTTGGTGCCGGGACTTGGGTTCGATAATCATTGTCGCAGACTGGGCAGGGGCAAAGGCTTTTACGACCGCTACTTGTCACGATTCTCGGCTAAGACTGGAAGCATGCCTTTGCTGATAGCCCCAGCATTCGAGTGTCAGGTGGTGGTGTTCCTAGGCTGTTCGTGGAAGGTGTATCGTGACCTATGTATTTCAGATTCTTGATGAGATCCCTGTTTCTGCTAAAGACCTTCCAGTCGACTATGTGGTCACCGAGGAGCGGATTGTCGAAAGAAGTCGGAAGCTCCAGCATGATGTCTGTCAGTGATTTTTGGGTTTCTTATTGTAACTCAGTGTGCGCCTTTGATGAGCGAATAACTATAGTCAATTTGGAGTTGAGGATGAACCCATTCATTGATCAGTTCTGTCTGGAAAGGAATGGACGCTGTCCTCTCCACAGGAACTTGAAAATTCGCAGGTCTGGATTTTTCTATCGCTTCCAAGTTCTGGGATTTTTTCGCCAAACATGGACTGAGCTTCTCATGATCCGCTTCAAGCGCAGCGCTTCATGTAACCTTCTCCTTGATCTGGCAGTAGCCGGTTTGCAAGCGACATATTATAAACTCTGTGTAGTGAGTTAGAACGAAAACCACGCACGGATAGAAAATACATCCTGGAAAACTATGAGAGCGCTGGCTTGCGGTTTCTTCGTCTCTCAGTTTGTCAATCTTACTGGAGAACTTTCAAATTCGCCTGAGATCAATAGAGAGATCGATTTCGTTTTTATAGAGTTGTAAATTTCGAATTCAAACCGCCAATTTTGTTATAGGATTTACAATCCTGTCGGGTGCACATTGCAGCCTCCAACGATTCTCATCAGAAGAAGCGATTCTATTCCATGCTTGCGGTGCAACTATAGAATAGATTGAAGTTATGTTCTTCAACGGAATTGAAAGTTCCAAAAGCAAATATGGCCTTACCGTTTCTGATTTGTGCATCTTTCTTGACACGTCCCGACGTAATCGGTAATTGCAAAAACGCACTTGATATTCGAAAGGTGTAATTGAGTCTCAACACAAAAACAGCATGTGTAAGAATGCAGGGCAGATTTTGCTCAGACATTAGGTAAAAGTTCAATGAAATGAAAGGAACGGTTTCCCGCTAGTGAGTTCAGGGTTACTCAGACTGAGTGGTCTCGACAACGGTGGAAGTTTGACGAGCTGATGAGGTCGAGGCACCAGAAGACTCGACGCTGGCAGTGGTAGTCATAGGCGCTCCTGTGGTACCCTCCATGACTGTGGTACCAGGTGCCGCAGTGGGCTGCTGCTCGCCGCAGGCAATAGACTCTCCAACACAATCAGCATCAGTGGGCTCGAAGCATATCGAGCCATCAGATTTCTTAATCAGACCAAAGCAGACAGAAGGAGACTGCCAAGTCTTGCAGTAGGAATCGTACTTTGAGTTAGCACAGCCCTCTACATATGAACACATCTGAGCACATGGGTCTTCAGTGGCGGACGCCAGTGCTAGAGTTGCAATGAAGGCTGATAGGGAGAGAATGAAGGAACGCATTTGATTTATCGCAGACTGGGATGAATAAACTGATGGATGAAGAAAAATACACACTCAGGGGGGTCTTTCTTGAAGGCTATCGGACTCTTCTGATCAACACCAGATTGATTCTGATGACTTTGACATTGGCATTACTACTGTGTAGCTATGCGGCGCCGTACACATATGTGTGTGATGTTCCCTCCGCCACACTGTGGAACAACTCAACAACTCTCCGGTACGACAAGCATTGAACACTAAGATGGTTACGATAGCATGTGGTCACATGATAATTGGAGTCGTCATCTGCCTTTAACACAGCTCTTAGCAGCAATGCACTTCTTAAGTACTCCGTACTGTGATGTCTCTCCGTGCAGCTTCTGTCCGGCAAAGCATTGTTGATAGTCCACTGCACGTGACTGAACAGAAGAAACCAAATTCGCTACTTCAACCTAACAACACTACTTCTGATAGGTCTAGCGTTTGCTTCCCATACACACAACGTATAACTTCAGCACATCGGTTGCCATCGCCTCCTAAGAACGTTCGCACTACTCTGAGTCAAGCCACATCGGGCCATACCTTCGGGACCGTCTGCCTCGGGACCTTCATGGTCATTCAGGCATCCGATCAATTCGGGATTGCAATAATTCTCCGTGCATTGGAAATTGACAGCAGTGTTACCATCCAATGCAGAACTCCTCTGTTGCGTCACCTGCAGGGCTACTGATACAATCAGGCCAACCTGTATTATCAAATGGTGGCATCCCATGACTTGATACGAATATTAGCTGATTCGCAGAGGAGTGGTACTGGTATAGTAACAAACACAACATAAAATTGACAGACACCAGCGTTAATGCATGATCCACTCAATCCCAACCAAGCTCAGCATCATCATAATCAGCATTTGCAGCGTCATCAGCACTCTCGAAGAAAGCTCCTCGATGATGGTGTCGTTGTTGGTGATGACCCGAGTTGGCATCGAGGGGCATGGTCTCAGGATCATACTGGCTCAAGATGGGATCCCTCCGCTCCATGAGACGCATCTCATCTGAGGTGGTGCTGCACTAGGCAGTTGCGACGAGAATTCTCACCTTGTCTATTCCTCTCAGCATTCAAGAAAAGGTTATCGAGCCACGAATTGAATTGCTTCTGATTCATCATCGAAGAGCTTTCCGCTTCGACGGCTGAGTTCAGCTCTTCACGTCTGAGCCTACGTCTCCTCCCACGACGACGTTGGGAAGCTAGCTGGCTGAAATTGCTAGGGTCAGATCTGATAAGAGTGATACCATACGATACTATGAATCGCAACTATCGAGTAACTGCCGAGCCCGCTGTGATTACTTGCCAGAAACCGCAGCCAGGGAGCTAGTGTTGGAAGGGGTAGAGGCTGAAAAGTGACGAAATCCCGACACGGTGTGTTTGCTCCTGCTTACCTAGAATCCGATCGACTGAAATTGTGAGCAGTAGTAGTGTGTACACTATGAACAGTCGCCGAGACATTGTGGAATATTAGCTGACATATCGAAACGGTGTACCATACCATGCTTGATATCCCGGCAGGAACTCAACAAGTGCTGGTGGTAGTAGTAGAAGAAGGAGAAACCAAGCTCTCCGTGTTTACCACAGTGATCGCACAGGAAAGGCTATACGGATGAAACCAATCACATTATGCTGTCGGCAAGAATAATGGACCAAGCCAATGCCTCCAAAAATCTGCTGCTAAAAGCAGGTAATTAATAATCACTGGAGTAATGAACAGCAATGGTATATATACTCGGTATGCTGCAAGAAATAGGTTTAGCAAGAGTCATCATCATTTGCGGCAGAAACCGAGTTTGACGAGTTGAACCCCAGTGAGTTGTCCAATGCAGTGGAGCCAGAACCATACTGCTGTTGTTGTTGTTGTTGCTGATGCTGTCTGCCTGTGCTCCACCCCGAGGTCGTCGATACTATACTACATCTCCTCGCGGTATCACTGTGGTGTTTGTTAGTATTAACAGATTCCTCCAAATCATCCAAGCCAAGCGACGATACAATTCCACTGGGAATCAATGGTATCACTTTTTTCCCGGACTTCTTCTCCGCCTCGACATTCAGTGGGACATTCGGCATTGAAAATCTCCTATTGCGCAATTGACTTGTCGCCCTCCCATCAGGAGTATTCTTGAGCTCCCTCTCAGCCTGCCTCCAAAGTGCCCTATGCTCACTACTCAGACTTATCATGGCGTTCGCGAAGATCCTGTCGGCAATCTTGGGTGGTCTCGTCTCTGTTATGGGTAATGCGACTCGGCAGTCGGGCACAGTATTTCTCCTTCGGGTCATCGAGGGTTTATAAGTGAGAGTAAGCCGGCCACCCCAACAGCTCGAGGATTGATCATCATCATCAACAGCAGCCTCCTCAGCCGTCCTCTCAAGAAGCTCCTGTACAGCCGCTAGCTCGGCCTCTGATAAGCCACTGAGCTCACCCACGATGGTTCCATTCCGATTTTCGTCCGTCATGTGCTGGTCGAAGGGATAATGAATGAAGGTAACGATAATGACGCGTGTTACTAATTCCGCTGACCTGTCGGTTTCGCGCGCGTTAAAACGGTGAGTAGTCAAAAACGCGCAAAGTGTGCAAATTGTGCTGCCGGTATTCTGATCTCTTCAACATGGTGTTTCCAAATTTCACTCAGCTCAGCAATTCCGGCGGCTAGACAGTATACATTTATAAATAGACACGGATCGTTCCTGATAATGCTGTTATTGCGCTCTACGAATTTCACGTAGTAAACGGCTTATATATGTGACAATGTTTACCAATAACACAGTATTGACGTTCTTCAAAATACTCCTATGGAGTGGGTGTTTAGATGCAGTGAGAGAATCTCGACTGTGTAAAATGTGCCAGTCGATGGTTGAGTCATCATCTAGCCTTATACTGTGTGTATAGTTTTACGTGAGATGTCCTGGTAGTATTCAAATCTGACTGGTTGAATGGTCATAGACATAATCATGCTGTTGGGTTCCTATCTTGTAGATGCATATTGCCGAGGACCATTCGAGTGTCTCACTAGGTCAACAAATACACATTATGCAAAAGTCATTATATGACAGTTGTAATGCTCATGATTATCATCTCACTGTTGTTACTATTGTTATTCATATTCATGTTACTATGTGTCAATTTCAACGCTTAAGCTGCTTTCGAGTTATCAGTAGTACCCGCGTACAGTCAGTGTTGGAATATATCTCCGGTTTCCTCAGTTGAGCCTAGGAGGTCTCCACTGACTAATATGAATTCGGGTAGAAAAAATTCGAAGTGAATGGAAATTTCCCAAAATTTCCTCAGAATTTTCGTATTGTCATTAACATATGTGGTTGACCATGTGCATATTTTCCCACACTGCCTTAGTTGTGGTTAGTAGCTCGGCTGCTGCTGCTGTTGTCCCCTCAACGTGCTCTCTATCTACTGCACGTCATCATCAAGGATTATATCCCGAAGTGGCTCCGCTCGTCTGCAACTCTTATCGACAATCTCCCGAGGCCATCATTGACCGCTCCATTGAAGCACCGAAACGCTACGAAATTAGTCCAGAACTGTAAGTGTATGGATAAGGTGAAGTGCCCTGCATTCATCACGATGGATATTAACCATGCGAATGTTGTCCTTCTCTTAGTGTACTGAAGAATATCATTACTCGTCCTACAGCAGCGGTAGGAGGTATGATGCCCAGGGAAACAGCAGCAACAGCAGCAGATCCTTATCGGCTCCTCCCAACTGCTACTACTACTGCTGTTGCTGCCTCGCAAGAAGTCATCGATGCAGTCTCTGTAGTCCATGAGAAAGAACAAGCGCAAGAGTAGTACTATAGGGGATGTGTTATGAGTGTTTACGAGGCTCTCATTGACAGCGGCTTACCTTGAGACAGTGAGTGGTGATATTCTCTCAGTGTTCCTATGAATAGAGGTGAAGACGAGCCTCTAGAGCCGTCGAACGGCACCCTGAGAACGCCCATCAGTGTTGTGATTACTGCTGATGAGAAGACCTACAATTGTAATGAAGCCATCACGGAGAAGACTATGAGTGGGTCGTCTTCAGTAGTCGTCATTAGTTTATCAGCACTTGTGCACCAGGCACGGTCGAGAGGGAAGCAGTGGCGAGTCGGGCTCAAAATGCACTAGATCTGGCTATGTCATATGCCATGGATGCTCAGCTAAGCTCGGCTGTAGTCATCAAAGCACTGGGGGCGGTGCTGTACACTGTTGTTGTTACAGAGTGTTGCCGAACTTGTTGCTTGGAGAGCTGAGAAGGACCGACTTCATGAGGAGCGGGTCAAGGCCGAAAGGAAGAGGGCTGAGAAGGAACGGTCATAACAGGGGGAGGGAAAATGACGACAACGACGATGAGCTTATTTGGACAGTTCACTTCACTAGTATTAACAACATTTAATATCCATAATGTACAGTTGAATTTGACTATAGTATCGTTCGTAATGATGTCGCGGATGGCATCAACCTACGTTGGCTTGTTGTTCAGATTGGCTCGCTCTGTATACAACGATAGAGTCGCTCGTTGGGCTACCTTGGATGCTCAAATAGCAGAGTCCTTTGCTGGAGTAGATGTGAGGGCATTTCATAGGGATGCTCAGCTCTTTGGGGAGTGTGACTGGACTCATGTACCATTGATTGGAGGAGAGGAGGCGATGGAGGCTCAACAGGCGGTGTAGTAATTCAACACTGGGTCTAGGATAGTCTATATATCTCGGAATTTGCGAATGTGTTGGAAAATATATTTGGTTTCCTCGGCTGAGCTTGAGAACTCGCTCACTAAAAATTAAAAATGAGGTGTAAAAAAACCAACAAGAATTTCCTTAGATTTTTCTCATTATCACTGACGCACATGTATATTTTTCTGCATTAGATGATCATTTCTTCGATAGCGTTAATGCTCTTGAAACTTGAGGGTGATGTTAAAAGACCGCTGTTGCATGTGATAGATTCGACTCGGAAGCAAAGGCGAGGGCAGACTTGTTGGCAACAGACTTTGATGAGGTCCTCGAGAGTCGGGCTCACGCAGAGGGGGACTCTGTGGCACTCAACTGGAGGAAGGTGAGAAGGATGGGGGTTGTAGTGTGAAGTGAAAGAAGTG